CTTCTCACTTAGTAATATTTTAACTATACACATGTTAAGTTCTAGAACGAACAAACTTAACTCATGTATTACTCGTTTGTTAAAAAATACATCTTCCTATAATAGTTATAAAATATAATAAAACCATAATAATTTCAGATATTCAATTAAAAATAAATACATAATTAATTTACTACTCCGTAAAACTTAATTTTGGACGTGAAATTAAAAATGATTCAACACTAAATAAAATAAATAAAAAATGTAAATTCTGATTGGCCCACACTAAATTAAAAAAAAGTTATTAATTTAAATAAATTTTAATTTGATTTATTTATTTATTCTTTGTTTATTTATCTATTTACTTATTTATTTAATTTTTTATTTAATTATTCATTTATTCATTTATTTTACACTTTTTATTAGTACTTATACATTAATAATATTTTTTAATTATCTCAAATTAAGGTTTTCGGAAGAACTAAAACACTATTTTAGATCAATTTTTAAGAATTGAGTTGATCCTGAACCAGACTGAGACAATACGCATAATTTTTCTTAGATAAATAATTTTGAAAATATTTTTACATTAGTAATACTTTTAATGAAGTATCTCAAATTAATATTTTGAGTAATTTAGTATCTTAGTAACTTATTTTATATGTTACTAATGGTTTTAGTAAATTAGGTTGAATAAATTAAAAAATTAATAATTTTTTAGTTTGCAAATAAATAACTAAATACATAGATAATAAATAAATAAATAAATAAATAAATAAATAAATAAATAAATAAACAAATAAATATATATATATATATATATATATATATATATATATATATATAAATACACATATAAATGAACAAATAAATAAATAATTATAAATAAATACATAAATACATATATAAATAAATAAGTATAAAAATATATAAATAGATATAATTTCTACACTTTACTTACATTAATAAAATAAGTTTTGTTTTTAAATTTGATGTGAGCTTGGGCATATCATGACACTTATTTACATTTATTTTATTTAGTGTTGATTCATTTTTAATTTCACATCCAAAATTAATTAAGTTTTAGTACATTTAAATTATATAACTATTTTAGGAAGATGTATTTTTCAACAAACGAGTAATACATGTGCAGTGATGGAGACAGAGGGAGACTGACAAGGGTGTGGGCTCCTGCAAGAAAAAATTATGTGTGTGTGTGTCTTGTGTGTGTGGGGTATAATTGTATATTTGCAGTAAAAAATTTAGTGAAATTATAAACCTTGGTCCCCTCAATATAAATTTTTTAAGCGTGTACGTTGCAGAACTTAACATGTGTATAGTTAAAATATTAATAAGTGAGAAATTATCAAAAGTAAATGAGTTAACTTAGTGGTGTGGAACTTATGTTTTGTATGCTATGTCATGGGTTCAAATCTCCCACCAATGAATTTTTTTAATATATGATGTGGAATATGTGACGTGGCCATTGTAATGACAATGGACAAGGCATAGATGGACATATGATTTGGTAAATAAGTTTGAATAGTAATGGATAGAGGCATGTAGTCAACGTGCCTTTGATGATTTTGGAAAGGGCCGTTGGCAGTTCAACGTCGGGATGACCGGTCCCGTGCGGGGTAGTTTCTCTCAAGAGTTCACCAACCTGCAGGGACATACAATGAGGCTTCCTCAATCACCTCTTGCTCGTCCTTTGCAAACTGCATTGGGGATTGATGTACGTACATCTTCTATGTCTTGGACCAATAGGAAGAGAGGTCGGGGTTCATTTTACTTAGTTTTAAGTATTAAAGTTATCGAATATGGATCATCTCATGATTCAAACCATAGACGCCAACGATCATCTCTAAGAGCCCCATCACCGGTCGGGTAGTTAACTCGAATGCAAATTAGACTTTAATCACAAGTTGACAGATAATGAGAAGACTCTGACCAAGGTACTTCGTATTTAATAGGGAATAAGACTCAAATAAGATTAAAACAATAGCAGAGAACTTAAATAGGAGTTAGAAGTTTTTAACTCCTAAATAGGACAAGTTTTGAATCGGTAGGACGAGAATACCCTGGGTCAAAATTAATCTTCCCCATCAAATACAGCCATCGAAGAGGGAGCACACTGCACACCAGTCATCGATGTGATGTCTACTGAGTCGGCGCTGGACTGCATCTCGTCGCCGCCTCGCCGCGGAATTCGCTGGGTACCTGGGCCTTCTTCCTTCTTCTCCTTCTTCCTTCGCCTCTTTTTCTTCTCCTTTTTCTTCCGATCTTCTACTGTTTCTTCACTTTTCCTTGTTGCCCGGTTTGAGTCTCCACTCACCCCTTCTTCCATTTACGGTTTCTTAGTGTCGTGCTATCAGTGCCGATCCTACCTAAACTCGAGCCTGAGTCGAACCGCATAAAAAGGCCCCTATAAATTACAATTTTACGTAGTATATTTTTCTGAAGTTAAAGATGTATCATCACAAAGTAATTAATTAAATAAAATTCTTACATAATAATACGGAGTATAATGTTACAATACCACATGTATAAAAACTCTTACATAATACGGAGTATAACATATATAACAACAGCAAATGTATTAATTAGTCGATACGTGACTTCCTTTCCCTCTTTTGAAACCCGAACATGCATTTGGGAGGCATATATGGTACTAAAGATAAATAAAACACAATTTACAGAAATCATATACATACACACACACGTGTGTGTGTGATAATATTAGTTTTTTTGCAACATATCCTAATATTAGTTATATAAATGTGCTAAATAATGCATTGTTGTCACTAAATTAGAGAACATAACCTACTTAAAATGTAAATAAATACGTAGTATAAAAACTGTTTTTTTTTTAACTATGCATCCACTAAATTATAGAACAAATCGTTTGAATATTCAAAATTAAGTTCAAACTTAATTTTCTAAATGTATGGTGATCTCAAATCAACCCTGGAACAATTTATATTTATCTCCAATTAAAACAAGACAAGGTTTTTTCATTGTGCAAAAGAAATTCAAAATGGACCCATGCATAAATTAAACTCTCCAAAAAAAATGGACCCATAAACTCTCTTACTTTACAATCTCAAAAGTCGTTGAAAACTCAAGCAATTCTCAAAAAACTGAAAATCGAAACATAAATAATGAAAGATTAAAAGGACTTGAGATGCATAATTAATAGTTTTGAAAAGTACTCTTGCTAAAAGGTAATCTGGTTCGGCCATTCCTCTTCTAACTTAATTAATAGTTGGTCAACTGCTCGGCTATTTCGGTTTTCAAACGCAGCAACGATAGAATCAACCAAGACATGTCTTTTATATTTAAAATACATATACTCCCTTCGTCCCGAAAACAACTTCCCGGTTGGACTTTCACACACTTTTAGGAAATAAATTTGACTTTACTGTAGAGTGCACTGTTTAGCACTGTTTAAACACTGTTTGACACTGTTTAAACACTGTTTGGCACTGTTTAAACACTTTTGGCACTGTTTATCACTTTTTAGATGTAGATAATTTGCCAAATAAAGAAAGTATTGAAGTGTGAAGTTAATTTTGGGACATCCATTTAAGGAAAGTGGGAAGTTGTTTTTGGGACGGAGGGAGTATATAATAGGAAGATAGTTAAAATATTGGGCCCCTAATTTTTTGACATTTTTGGGGCCCTGAGGCCTATGCCTCAGTTGCCTCACAGTAAGCACGGCCCTGCCTGCTATATATATCCCAAAGTAACTCCGTAATGTTTACAGTGGGCTGTTCTTGTTTGATAAATTTTTGGAAACCATTTTATTATTGGATTTACTCAAAATCATATAGCTATGGGGTAACAACAATGTTACGTTTTTTATTTATATTTTTTGGCTTTCTATTTTATTTTTATTTTACGCAATGATAGTAATTTTCAAACAATGCTATCATTACATTATCATGATATAATGTCATTGTATATTACATTATCATATAGCGATATTATAAAACATCGTCAAAATGTGTTTTTCTGTAAAAATAATGTGATTTATAACTATATTTTTCTATAGCGCCATCACTACTAATATGTCACTGTTTTAACATTGGTCATTTTTATAACATTGACATTGTTATGACACTCATTGACTTTGACATTGACATTGACATTGTGTTTAATACAATGTCATTTTTGGTAGCATTGACTTTGTCATTGTCATTTTTACAATGTTATTTTTGCAGCATTGACATTTACAATATTGCATTGTGATAATTTCCTGACACTTTGATAAATTCTAACATTGTAAACTTTTAGAATAATACGGAGTATGACATTGTCACATATCTCAATGTCATGACAATGTATCGATGTCATTTTTATAGCATTGAAAGTGACATTGTCATTATTACAATGTTATTTTTAAAATTATTGACATTGTCAGTTTTACAATGTCATTTTTTCAAAACGTTAGTGTTAACATTGTAGTTGTCATTATTTGACATTGTTTCATTTTTCTTGAAATTATAATACATTATCAACAATGTGTTTTTCTACAAAAGCACGGCCTGGAGCTGTCGGGAACCACGACCAAACTTTCTTTCTTAAAAACTCCACTGAATTAAGGTTCCGAGTTCTAACAGATGGGGATGATACTTCAATATCTTTGGACTTCTCGATTGACAAGTCCCATGTTACTATTTAAAGCTAATTATTGAATTTTAATAACAAATATTCTTTGACAGTCTAATTGCCTCGTCCACGGATACATTCATTCATTCATATGCAGACACTTCCTATCATCCTATGGAAAATGGAATTGAACATTCTGAATTAATCAATAGCAAACTAACATATGTTTTGAATCTGTTTTTAATTTTCGTGAATGTGAATTGAAAAGGATTTTTTTCATTCATCAATCATTAACTATGAAAAAGGTGAAAGTATTTTGTGAGATAAACGGCCAAACAAAACTAAGGAATCACAGATGAGAAAAAACATTTAAATTTTAAACCAAACACAAGTGCCTTGGAGCGATTGGACAAAAAGAAGAGACAAGCCTTAAGATTTCGTAGAGGAAAAGAAGCGACTGGAACAAACATTTAAATTTCCCAAATACCTCTGCCTTAATGTTCATCTACGAAAGAAAAAAGAAAGAAACAAGCCATTAAGGACGGAAGAAAAAAAGAGTAGAAGAAAAGAGCCGCGAGAGAAGAAATAAGAAGAGGAGAAAGAGTAGGAGATGATGAGGAAGAGAAAAAGAGAAGAGATTCGTAAGATTTTCGCCGGCGCTGCAGTGGATCTCTTTTCTTTCTGTCTATCATCTCTGTAGCGTCGGCTCAGACAAGTTGCCGCCGCTGCAATAACCGCCGGCACCGCCCGACCGCGCCGCCTCATCCCATTAAGTTTCCGCGAGCTACTCTGTTTTCCCGTAAATTGCTCCCCCCAACCCCCTGTTGTATAGCTGTGTTTGTGGAATGGAAAAGGCAGAGGTAATAATAATATAATAGGGGTAAATTGGGAAGACACGGAAAAATAAGTCCTATTTAAGAGTTAAAAAGCTTGGACTCCTATTTAGGTATATTAAGTATATTTTGGTCCTATTTAGCACCATTTCTCTATTTAATAACCGTAGCAGCAACGATAACGGTAGCGGTCATCTCGGTAGTGGCCACTGCGATGAGTATAGCGGTCGCAGTGACGTGAAATATTTTCAAGTGCGCAAAACCTATAATTAATGGATGTTAAGTCAACATTTTTTTCGTCAACTCATATTAAAGTTAAATCATCCTTATTAGTTATTACGGAGTAATAATCAATTAGGTTTTAATAATTAAAATTTAAATATTAATTAATATTTGGTCCCGTAATGTATGTGGATACATGTACATTTAATTTAGAGTTCCACTCCAAGCACCATCATTAATGTATTTCACATCATGCACACAACATTTACACATTTACACATCAACCGGTTCGTGATGCACTACCGGAGGTGCCGGTAGCGACCTGTAGTGGGCAGCGTAGGGATTACACAGCGGAATTTTCTGCATTTGAAAATCACACCTTGATAGCGACCCGGACGTAGCGGTAGCTACCGCGACCGCTGTATAGCGGTCTTGATAGCCGTAGCGGCTGGCTATTTAAAACCATGGATCTGACTCAAATATATGTAGAGATCCTATGCGTTTGTATATAGTAAGCTCTCATCGGTCATTGCAGTTGATGGAATTTGAACTCGAGACATATTGATATGACACTCACTATCTACCAGTTGAGTTACGTTCAAGTGGCTTCTCTAATCCACCGAAATGATATATGTTTGTGTTGCCAATTTGCCATATATAGCTGCATACGTTGTCGGTGTTGCCGCATGCATTGCTAGCTTTTATGAACAGATCAGATACCACTAGCTCCTGAAAAGCGAGCAGATTTAACTGCTTGTGCACGCCTGCCTTTTATTTGACCCAAATCAAAACTAGTCCGCTTTTCATCATTTCCATTTCCCTGCCTTACCAATACAGTTAAATTGCCCTGTCGTGATCGTAAAATCGTTCAGGGCAAAGAATCAGAGGCAGCACAAAGATGGTTTTATGTTGTTTACTTCTTAAAAGAATCTGTTGTTTTAAAAACAAATGTGTATAACCCGTAAAAAAAGGGTGTATAAATAGGTGTTTACTTGTCGCCCATTTTTATCCTCTTCTATATGCGCAAGTTCACTTGCCTAGATATTCTTTTTATGTTTCTTTACCGTGACTCATTCCCTATTTTATCCCAATGAATGAATTTCTAAATTACTCGAGTCGGATATGAGACTAGATTTAGATTTAGGAAATAGTATATGTAAGTATGTAACATAATACAAATGGTAAGTTGATTATTTTTAACAAGAAATTTGTCAATGGTAAACAAGGGTCTGCTCAGTCTTCAAATCAAATTTGCTCTATATATATAAGTGATTTCGATAGATAGCAATCGCCTCTAGTCGATTACTTTTTCCTGAATTAGCTCAACTCTAAACTACTACAAATGAAATGGTGTTGTATACTATTTATATGCTGGGTGGTTGACAAATGCCTGATATTGTTTATCTAGTAAACATTACGTAGTAGATGATTAGAACATATATTTTGTGAGATATTACTTTCTATAGATATATGCAGATATAATTTTTCAAGCATAGTTGCACCATTTTTTGTTCAAAGCGATGAAATCGTAGTTTATATATAATCTTATAAGATTCAGATGGAGCCTATCGAATATCGATCAATCTTACATCACGATACGTACACTTGAAATTAGGGAAAGTTCCCGAAATGGGACTAAAAAAGTTCAAAAATTCCAAAATAGGACTGTCATATTTTTATTCCCAAAATAGGACTAATTACTGCCAAATTTGGAAAATACTGCCATGTTTGAAGTCTGGTACTGCCTAAACATGACACTAATTAGTCCTATTTTGGGAATAAAAACATGGAAGTCCTATTTTGAAATTTTCAGACTTTTTTAGTCCCATTTTCGGTAATATCTCTTGAAATTATTTGTCTATTTGGGCATATTTATCATGAGTCATATTCCACTCTATTTCTTTCTCTCCATTTACTCTTTCCATTTGTTTTTCACTCTCTCTCCTTAAAAATAAAACATAATCTTTTCTTTTTCCCTACCTCCCCACCTCTATCTATCTCTCTCCTACTGAACAATTTTAGTTACTGGAGAGGAGCAAAATTCTATAGTGTAGTATGATGTTCTGCAACTCAGGATTCAAGAATTTAGAATTTTTATTAACTAAATCAACACGAGACAAAAAAAATGGCCTTGTCTCGAATTCATGAAATATATAAGATAGAAAAATTATCATCAGCAAGAAGCTAGCCGAAACAAATCCTGATTCAATAGAATTTAAATGAGTAAAGGGTCAGTTTGGTCCTCGAAGTTGCAAAAAAGGCGTCAAATAAGTCCTTATATAGAAGATTCTGTCCGGACGTGCCATTTGAGGTGGCTCCCTGTGGAATTTTGTGATAAATTTTTTTGAGCATCTTATTCATTAAGTCTAGTTTACTCATACCAAATTTCAGCTAAAAATTCAATCGGGAATACATTCAAATGAATTCTTGAAGATAACAACGCTTTTAACGGCACAGTTATCTTCAAGAATTCATTTGAATGTCTTCCCCATTGAATTTTTATCTGAAATTTGGTATGAGTAAACTAGACTTAATGAATAAGATGCTCAAAAATTTTCATCAAAACATTCCACCGGGAGCCACCTCAAATGGCACGTCCGGACAAAATCTTCTATATAAGGACTTATTTGACCTCTTTTTTGCAATTTCGAGCACCAAACTGACCCTTATCCCGAATTTAAATAGGGTAACCAATTTGACTAAGGAAATTGAATATCAAACGGAACAAGAAAGAAAAATTATCAGTTTAAGAAATTTTAAACTACAAGAGTCGGCAACTCGGCATCCAACATTAAATTTAGAAGTCATGGGAAAATAAAAGAGATCTTTTCTGCCTGTTCGACACTTCGAGAGACATACTCAAAACACATGAGTATATAAGTCATTGCGATGAACAAACATGCAAACTATGTGCGTATACAAATTATATTTCGACAGTACGTTATAAATACACATAAAACATACATCAATTAGACTAGACCTTTTTAGACCAGTCTCAAACAAATCATACCAGATTAGGACACAAACTTCCAATTAAAAACATCATCGATCCATAAACATTATCTGAAAACTCATCCCCTATGGACCTTTCATTTCACAAAGGAAGTATCAGTGGCGGAGCCAGAAGTCTATAGTTAAAGGGGCCGGTTCTTGAAAATTTTACTTTGCAGGGGCCAAAGTTTAAAATATCAACATATTTTCTATAGATTAAACGTATTTATGCATAATATATACTTAAGAATTTTTTTCCTTGCAGGGGCCGAGGCCCCCTCCAGCCCCTCCCTGTCTCCACCCCTGGGAAGTATCACTACATTGCTAGTGAATTGTTACATTAAATGCAAAAACAAAGAAAACAAGATAATGAGCATCAGGAAAAACAAGTAATGAGCTAAATTATAGAAACAAGGAGTTTAACAAATATAAAATCATTAAGATGTACAAATCCTTGAACCTATTACCTATGGGTCAACTTATTTTTTTGTTTCACTTTGATGATCTTGAGTAAAGAGATAAATAATGCTACGTAAATTAGCATTACAATTACCATATCAGGGACTAAATAGCATGAGTCCCCATGAGATTAGCGGATGCAATATCGTCTGATGACCTATGTTCAAACCCATATGAATACCTTGCAAGTTCTTTAACACAATTGAGAACACATATTCTCTCCAACAGGTTTTTTCAACCTCCAACTATTCGACCATTTAGCTCTCTCATTTTCATGCTCTTCATCATTTTCTCTAGCATTTATTTCGTAAGATATTATAATGCATTGTTTGAGATGTTGAGTGATTTTTCATCTACCTTTGTAACTACCTTTTAGGGTGATAGCTCTCCAGATAGTATAACACCTCCAGCGTATTATTTAGATATCATTTTTGCAAATGTTTTTGAAAGTGGTCTCACTATTTCCTTGTGTTGATTCAATTTCTTTAGTAGTTGCTGTCTATTTTGAAGATCAAATCCACAACATGACGCAAGACTCATATTTATCAATAATTGACAAAACAACTTATAACATATTAGTATTACTACATCTTTGGAAGACATTGAAACCATTGACAAAACAACTGATAACATATTAGTATTACTACATCTTTGGAAGACATTAAAACCAACTTTTATCTTGCCATAACATAAAAAGGACAATGAAATCTTAATACATTTATCTTTATGTTGTCTGCCAACACAGCATTTATGATTTCCTTATCACATGGGAAATAATATTTGAGCTGTTCAACTATTCAAGACATGGCATGAAGATAAAAGATAAATTTAGTGTAAGATAAAATGCTCACCACATTTCGGATTATTCCATGACGAAGCTACAATGATAAAATGGAAACCAAATTTTTAGAATCTGCGAGCCCATTTGGTAGTACGAAAATCGGCTGTATTGGCTGATTCTGCTGAAATTTATGAAGTTCTGGCTGAAGTGGCTGCATTTGGCTGATTCTGCTGATTTAAGAAAAAATTATTTTTAAAGAATATTTTATTAATAAAATAAAGAAAAAATTATAGGTAAAAATAGCTAAAATGGTCATCTATAGTAACTTCAACCAATACAACCATAAAAGTAACTCCAACCTTTTCTGCTTATTACACAATTCAGCACGCGAAAACAAAAGATACGTGTTTGGTGAAAAAGTTGGTTGATAAGCCTGATAAGCCGAAAAACAGTGTTGTCATACGGTCTCTACATTTCGGATCAGACAGACCAAATCACTTAGAAGGTCCTTCAACACCATCATTCTTGAAACTCCATGGGATTTGTCAAGGATATATCATTGACAAACTTTGTCACAAAAGTGTCCGTAACTATGTCGTTTCTGTGAAGTATGCTACATTTCTCTAAATATTCCATTTGTCAGAGACGCTTACCATAATTAATATCCGTGACAAAATTGATGTTTTTATAGGTCAATAACCAAATGACTTTTAATAGAAGATGAATTTGGCACTTTTTTAGAGTTGCCACACACAAGAAAAATTTCTTTGTACTTGGCAAATTATCACAACAAATCTGAGCATTCATTCTCAAAATGTCTAACCATTCATTCTCAAAATGTCTCCTAGAAATAACACATGAATGAGCATCGTGTGCCCTCCTAACCTCTCTATTACTCATTCGTACATGATTGAACAAGGTATAATTCAAACTTCATAGACCACTCTTTAAGAAGTAAACTGAACTGAACTAGAATCTACTAAACTTACATTTTCACACTTCTACTATAAATAGATTATTGTAAGTTCTGCAGATTTTCTTTATTTACACTTCTCTTCATACATTTGCACTTCTATAACCTCATTGCTTACAACTTACAAGTGACACCACAATATGAAAATAATATTATGTAAATTGAAATGTATAGAAATGTAAACAGTAAGTTAAAGGGATGAATGGTTAAATCTCTTACGAACTTGTGCTGCAATACCGCAAATGGCACACGCCCAGAGCTAGCATATATGTTTTCCTTTCTCTACTATCCATATTTTGATTTTTGAAGACATCGGTTATGCTCAAAATTATTGTGTTAGCTCAAAATTATGAAATATTTTTCAACTAGACCCTCAATTGGCTCAATTCATCCACAGTTTCTATCAAAGTTTTTGAATGCACTGCTTTATTTACCTGTTCAACAATAATAACAATATGAAAGATAGACCTTAAATGACGTAAAATGACAGTGATGCGGTCTTGCAGGAAGGTAAATTATATCACACACATAAATCTGCGTTGCTCAACTTCTTCACAATCTTCACTTCTGATATTAATTCTCACCACAAAAACACACACATGTTGGCCCAAGATCAGAGTTTCACTCTTCGTAACAGATACATGAAAATATAAAACATACTGGCAAGTTACACACATGAATGTTGTAATAAAGGTAATAGAAAATTCCTTATATAGGACTAAAACATAAACACAGTGCACATATTGGACTATCATTGTTTTCTTCCTAGAATAGGACTTATCCACTCCTAAAAAGGGAAGTTTTATACTTTTAATAGGATCAAATAAGTCCTATTTCGGAAATAAAATACATATAGTCCTATTTGTGCATTTTGTCTAAGAGCCCGTTTGGTAACACCAAAATCGGCTGATCTGGCTGATTCTGCTGGAATTTATGAAGTTCTGGCTGAAGTGGCTGCATTGGCTGATTTATGAAAAAAATATTTTGAAAATATATTTTATTAATAAAATAAAGAAAAAAATTATATGTAAAAATAGCTAAAATGATCCTCTACAGTAACTTCAGCCAATGCAGCCGGAAAAGTAACTCTAACCTTACTTTTTCTGCTTATTACAAAATTCAACGCGTGAAAGCAAAAGTTGCGTGTTTGGTGAAAAAATTGGTTAATCAGCCTTATAAGCCGAAAATGAGGGTTGCCAAACGGCCTCTAAGTTTTAGTCCTATTTAGAGCAATTTCTATAAAGGGGGAGGTCACCAAACATGCACAACATGTGATTAAACTAAGAGGTGCGCAGAGCAATCATATTGATGCAAACATGCACAACATGTGATTAAACTAAGAGGTGCGCAGAGCAATCATATTGATGCAAACATTGCATGGTCTTTTCCGAAAGAGAAAGATAGCCAAAATCAAACTTAAATTGATGATTTCTTGAGTGATAGGCGATACAACAGATCCATCATAGTTACGGATTTACAGAAACAAATCATCTACCTGGAGTCTCTCCAACGTGCCAAGAAGTAAGCATCAGCATGGACCATCCAATTGTTACAATTTTGTCCAGGGTCTTGATCAAGCAAGAGGGGTGCACTCACTCACACTTTTGGACCCAATTTCAGTTAACAATAGAATTGCATCAAAGCTTAGTCTTTTTCACAGAAGTTGTTCCACTGACTTAGGGACGAAACTATATGAAGTCTTCATGATCATCATCATCATCAGAACCATATATTGAGTCATCATCACACTCTTCCCAAACATCTAAATCATCTGCTTCACAAAAAGCTGAACTTTGCAAGTCACTAAGTTGCCTTCTTTCAACAAGACCATCCCTAACTTCTTCCTCCCCACCATCAAACTGGCTGACAGAAACCTTGCGATTACTACTCCACGCCCAAGAGTTCTCCTTTCTTTTTAGCACCAAATCATTCTCAGTTATATCTCCCTTTTCGACTCTAATCCATGGAACCCACAAATCAGCATGCCTCCCCAATGCACTGTCCGAATCTCCTGCTACTGCTGTCCCCAAATTCGCCTGCCCAGCCTTCCTCAACATCTCAGAAAAATCAGAATCATCCGAAACCAAGAAGACCCAATCAACCCCTCTGCTCAGTGAATGCTGCATTTGTTGTTTCAATGCTAAATCCGCCGCCTGTGGCTTATCTGCCACCGTCTTCACAAACACCCCGGCTCGCTTCAGATCTGATCCAAGACCATACCCTACTTTTGGGGTTATCAAGCTCCTAGCAGCCTCAACATACTTCTGGTTCCCGTCTATAAACCTTTCCTTGTACCGCTGCCGCTTTTTCCCTTTCAGTGAGGTCATCCGGTTCAGCTTCTTCTGCCTCTCTCTCTCGTGCAGCTGCTTGAAGTGCTTCTTCAGGTCTAAATTGGTCTTACATTTCCGGCCACAGACGGAGCATACGTAAGGCTCTGGCGGGGTCAGACCCCCCTTACGCTCGAGAATATCCAGGCGCCGCCGTTCGCGGCGCTGGTCAACAACCCATCGGGGAAGGTAGGAGAAAGCGTGGCGGTTGGCGTAGGCTGACATGTGCACGACTTCCCCGAATTTCTGAGCAACCCTCTTCAGTTCAACCGCCGCCTGGTACGGCGGTCCCCTCGGCGGCTTGTTGTCTAAGTCCCACAAAACCACAACTTTCTTGGACTTGGCTGTGTAAACCCCTTGTTTGTTCCTCACCATATCGATTTCGTACTCCGCGGCGAAGGATCTGATGCTCCATCGAAGTGCTCTTTTAGGAAAGAATGAGGGTTTAGAAGATAGGGAATGTAAGGGATTGAAGGAGAAAGTGAGGGAGGAGTGTTGTTTGGAAACGATTAGAAAGGGTTTTTTGAGTTGGATTGAATTGAACATGGTTGTGTTCATCATTGTAATCCTTCTGTGGCCTCCTCATAAGTTTGTGGGTCTGTAGAATTCAGATAAGATAAATTCTTGGACTTTTTGTTTTGGGAAAAGAAACCCTATGAAATTTAAGGCATTTTGAATTGAATTTCAAACTCATCTCAATCAAGATTTTGTCACGGGAGAAGACTCAAAAATGACACCAACTTGGTTCACCAAGTTCAAATTGGACACTCAACTTTTAAAAGGATCAAATAAATACATAAGTCACTTATTTGGGAAACTTTTGGCCACCCAATAAAATTCCAGTTTAACGGTGTTTCCCTATCAGCTTTTCCGTCTCCCCTTCTCGCTCCAGGCCACCTATACCGGCCCCGTCTTCTGGTCTGATCTTTATCATTCAACATGAGTGTAACTTTTTTTTTGTTATGCATCTCTCTAATTGTGAAAAGAAATTTGGTTTCATATATATCAGGCTCTTGTCTGCTAGAATGTAGGTGATTTTGGTTGTGGGGCTCCGGCGAATTTAACCCTTCAAGCCATGGATTCTTCATTCTTCTCAACAAACCGTCATCTTTGAGATCTGTGCAGTATAAATATGCCACCTTTCCAAAGCTGTCAGCAGGACGGAAGTTGCTCGCCACTCGGGTAATCGCGTTTTGCTCCTCTAATCTACTAAACTTCTTCCATATGAATCCAAGCCTTGACAAGCACATCTGACATCAAGGTCATCTTCTGTGCTAAGAGGATTTTCACCCATTACCGGATGAATCCGGGCGGAGTATACAACTCACAGAAGGAAAATATTATCCGAGTGAATTCATTCTACCGGCGGCGAATGAGCGTTCTTGACCAGTTGACCTACATGGAGGATGTCAACACTCAACGAGTATGGCTGGGGATATATTCACCTTCTTCTCAAACAACGACAATAGTCAGGAGCAGGATTTGGATCTATTCCAAGAATGCAATTGCAAGAAATCAAGGGTTTGTGAATCACAGAAAGAGCATAATGGAGATGTGAATGGATTCAACATCTATAGGAGCGAATCCTTGGGTCTCGTTTTAGCTTCAGGAGTGGAAACGGTGATTCTTGATGGCTTGACGTTGGGATTGAAAGGAGACGTTAGTGAGTGGCCATATATTGCTCAAATGATGTGTTTATGTGTTAAATTGGTCCAATAAAAAGTTAAGTGTCCAATAAGAACTTTGTAAATAATCTTGATGTCCTTTTTGAGCCTTCTCCCATTTTGTTACAGGAGCAGATGCTCTAATAGATGTAGAAAGATACTCCGTATTTCATAAAAAAAAAGGCTAAAGGGTCAAATAGGTACATGAACTAACTTAAAGTGTTCAATTAGCCCCTTATATAGGAGGTTCTGCCCGGCCGTCGCCAATTGGGGCGGTTCCCGCTGGAATTTTTTGATGAATTTTTTTGAATATCTTCTTCATTAAGTCTAGTTTATCCATACCAAATTTCAGCTAAAAATTCAGCCGGGAAGGCAGTCTGATTTTTTGAAGATAACCGCGCAGTTAAACAACGCAGTACATTTTGGAAAATCATTTGACTTCCTTCTCGATTTAATTTTTAGCTGAAATTCGATATGGGTAAACTAGACTTAATGAAGAAGATGCTAAAACAATTTCATCAAATAATTCAACCGGGAACCGCCCCAATTGGCGACGGCCGGGCAGAACCTCCTATATAAGGGGCTAATTGAACACTTTAAGTTAGTTCATGTACCTATTTGACCCTTTAGCCTAAAAAATATTGAATTGGAAACTAGTGATTTAAACTTTTAAGCAGTGTGAATAAACAATGATTTAGACTTTGTGGTTCACCCTTTAGGGCTGGTTTACAATAGCTTTAAAAAAACACTTCTCAGTTTTTGGCTTTAAAAAACACTTATTTACCAAACACTACCAATTTTTTACTTTTCTCGGCTTTCGTGTCAAAAGTGCGTTTCCCTTTTTTATACACCAAAAGCACTTATTTTACCAAACACTATCAACTTTTACTTTTCAAAATCACTTTTTTCTCAAACACTATCAACTTTTACAACTAATCACTTTTTCCAAATCACCCCAAAAGTGTTTTTTTTAAAGCAGAAGCTGTTGCAAACACTCCCTTAATAGCTCTGTCGTTAACACCATTCCATGATTAAACAACACAACAGGGCCAGTCTTTAGAAAATAGGGACCCCATGCAACAACATAATTTTGGCCATTTTTTCCAAAACAATTAGAAATTAGAAATAGAAAATAAATAAAGATGATAATAGTGATAAATTAAATATGATTTTTATTAAAATACAAGTTACTAATGAACATAATAGTAAAAATAAAAATACTTGTTAATAAAATCTTTATATATATATAACTACTATGGTTCGAAATCAAATAGAGTATTTTCCCTCCAACAAAATGTCACTGTTGAAACATTAAATGAACTCTTATATTTAATGTGTATAGATATTAATTAAAATAGTATAAGAAATAATTATGTACAAAAACAATAATATCAATGTTATTTTACATATATGATTAATTTCACATATGAAATTGTTGAGTTTAATCCAACACGATATAGAAAATATATGTATGAACACTCAGTTTTTACGTGGAAACCCGAAAGGGAGAAAATCACGGAACTTTTTAGGCTAATGTCCAAGCCCTCTCTTTCTCATTAGGACTCTCCTCACAATTACATTGTACAAGCTCCCATTAATGGAGTATTGAGCTAAGCCTAAAAGAAGGAAGGAAGAAGGAAGGATCCTTTACATGGAGGCTAAGCTCCGTATTTATAGGGGAAGGAGAGAAGGGGCTCTCCACCCTAATGGGCCAAACGGGCCGATAGCGGGCCTGGTGGTCAAAGTGGGCCGGATGGGCCGAAATGGGCCTAACTGCTCGGGCTCCGTACTGGATAATGTCTTGGGCTCCTGAACAGTAACAGACCGGGATAATATATCCCAACACAAGTCCCCCAGTTTCTTGAGTAGTGAGTGCGCGAATCTGCTCGAGAAAATATATTCTTGCGTGCGCTCTACCTCTGCCTAGATGGAACCTGTGTCTTCGAATAATCGTAATATATGAGTGGATGTCCACACTCCTGAACGTAATCTGCCGGTGAGGCACCCCCCTTCCCGACGGGGTCGGGCGAAGGGTGCTCCTCCACGGGCACGCTCCCCCTGAATGCATCAGGCGAGAGTAGAGGACTCTGACTCGAGCTTTCCAATCGGAGAAGCTTAGAGGTCCATGCATCTATAAACCGACGTCGCGGTACTGTCAAAACATGATGCACGTGTGTATGTATGAATGTATGAGGTATGATGCATGAATGCATGAATGCATGTAATGTATGGGTGCAATGTATGAGAGAAGGAATGTGAGATGTGATAGAAAGCGGTTGCTCTCATCGATAAACCGGGCATGTCAGCGCCGGCAGGCAGACGTGCTGCATAAGACGGTCATCGCCATCCTAGAAGGAATGGGCGATCCGGAGATGAACTTGACACAATGGCACGGAGGGGCCGATTGTGCTGCATAAGAGATGTTCGTCGCCATCCTGAGAAGGGATGGGCGAGCCGAACATGAGCCAGACACGATGGCACAGAGGCGCTGATCGTGCTGCATACGAGACGTTCGTTGCCACCCTGGAAGGGATGGACGAGCTGAACGTGAGCTGGGTACGATGGCGCTGAGGGGCCGATCGTACTGCATAAGACGGTCGTCACCATCCTGGAGGGAATGGGCGAGCCGAACCGTGAATCTGGACACGATGGCGCTGAGGGGCCGATCGTGATGCATAAGACGTTCGTCGCCACCCTGGAAGGGATGGACGAGCTGAACGTGAGCTGGGTACGATGGCGCTGAGGGGCCGATCGTACTGCATAAGACGGTCGTCGCCATCCTGGAGGGAATGGGCGAGCCGAACGTGAGCTGGGTACGATGGCGCTGAGGGGCCGATCGTACTGCATAAGACGGTCGTCGCCATCCTGGAGGGAATGGGCGAGCCGAACCGTGAGTCTGGACACGATGGCGCTGAGGGGCCGATCGTGATGCATAAGACGTTCGTCGCCACCCTGGAAGGGATGGACGAGCTGAACGTGAGCTGGGTACGATGGCGCCGAGGGGCCGATCGTACTGCATAAGACGGTCGTCGTCATCCTGGAGGGAATGGGCGAGCCAAACCGTGAGTCTGGACACGATGGCGCTGAGGGGCCGTTCGTGATGCATAAGACGTTCGTCGCCACCCTGGAAGGGATGGACGAGCTGAACGTGAGCTGGGTACGATGGCGCTGAGGGGCCGATCGTACTGCATAAGACGGTCGTCGTCATCTTAGAGGGAATGGGCGAGCCGAACCGTGAGTCTGGACACGATGGCGCTGAGGGGCCGATCGTGATGCATAAGACGTTCGTCGCCACCCTGGAAGGGATGGACGAGCTGAACGTGAGCTGGGTACGATGGCGCTGAGGGGCCGATCGTGATGCATAAGATGTTCGTCGCCACCCTGGAAGGGATGGACGAGCTGAACGTGAGCTGGGTATGATGGCGCTGAGGGGCCGATCGTGATGCATAAGACGTTCGTCGCCATCCTGGAGGGAATGGGCGAGCCGAACCGTGAGTCTGGACACGATGGTGCTGAGGGGCCGATCGTGATGCATAAGACGTTCGTCGCCACCCTGGAAGGGATGGACGAGCTGAACGTGAGCTGGGTACGATGGCGCTGAGGGGCCGATCGTACTGCATAAGACGGTCGTCGCCATCCTGGAAGGAATGGGCGAGCCGAACCGTGAATCTGGACACGATGGCGCTGACGGGCCGATCGTGATACAGAAAAATAGTGATGATCATCTCATGGCCCTCGACCTGTCGGTGAGTGGTAATCGTCTCGCGGCCCTCGGCCGTGCTGATGATGTGTCAAGTCTCTCTCCTGATTGGCTGTGAGAAGCCGATCGTCTGCCAGGACTCCATCCGGGAAGGAATGGTGAGCCTGAAATAAATCTGGGCGATGTCCTCCCTACCTGATCTGGGGAGCTAATCGTCGTTCGTCTACCGTATTTGTGGTCCTATGTACGGACCGCTAAGCGGTGTACACTCGGTACGCAACAGACTCCGGTGGAGAACTGGTCCTTCGTGTCTGATCCATGGAGCTGGTCTTCGTTCGTCTACCGTATCCGTGGTCCTATGTATGGACCGCTAAGCGGTGTACACTCGGCACGCAACAGACTCCGGTAAAGAACTGGTTCTTCGTGTCTGATCCATGGAGCTGGTCTTCGTTCGTCTACCGTATCTGTGGTCCTATGTATGGACCGCTAAGCGGTGTACACTCGGCACGCAACAGACTCCGGTAAAGAACTCGGTCTTTGTTCTTCCCAAGTCTCGTGAGTACTGGTCTCCTGGTTTCGTAGGAGACGTTCGTCATCGCAACTATGAGAAGAAACAGGTTTATCCACGTTGGGATTCCCTATCTCTGTTCGTCCCCAGTCGTGATTTACTAGTCTTCTGGTTTCGCAGAAGACGTTCGTCATCCGTCCATAAGGGGGAGGAACCGGTACACCCTGTCAGGGTTCCCGTTTCTTCGTTCGTCCCTGTCGTGATCCTACTAACCTTCTTCCCTCGAAGAAGACGTTCGGTCATTCACCGATCGCAAGGAGGAACTGGTTTACCCTATCGCGGGTTCCCTGCTTCGTCGTCCCATGCTCGTGGCCCTACTAACCTTCTGCTTTGGCAGAAGGTGTTCATCGATCCACGGGAAATGGGAGAAACTGGTTTATCTTGCCGAGGTTCCCTTTGGTTCGTCTACCCCCCCCCCCCCCCCCCACGTTCCTACCGGCCTCCGTGTCAGGAGACGTTCGTCATTCGCGGCGAAGGAAGATCTGGCATACCTCGTCAAGACTCCCTCTCTCATAGGATCTCATCTCCCCTTCTCCCCATCTTTTTTTTTTTGAGGGAGGAAAATACGTTCATCGGTTCTAAGAATGACCACAAGTGATGTCACACATAATGGTGGTGGGATACAAAAACGAATAAAATGACGAGGCGATGGAAAAGCTGGTCGTCATGCGAAGGCGATGGTCACCCTCCTGGAGGGGAGGGGTGAGCCCGATCGCTAACTCAAGAAGGTCGGCGTTGGGAGCCGATATACAATGATCATGATGTCGCTGAGCAGTCGGTCCTGATAAGGAGATGACAATAGCGTCCGATCAGGCTCATATGTCCGAGCAACGGCTCTCATCCACGCAGCGCGAGGATGAAACCGGTCTTCAAAAGATAAACACGCCGTGCCGAGAGGCCGGTCGTGATATAATGATATCGACAATGAGAGGCCGATCTGAGAAAACAAGCAACGGCCGTCATCCGCGAGGAGCGGGGATGAATCCGGTCTTCAAATATGGAAAGCACGCCGAGT